GCAAAATTCTTTTTGAAGAAATCCAGAATGACAACACAATAACGGTTACAGAAGGAAAAAAAAAAACAACTGATAATATCACGCACACTTATTTACAAGATTTTTGAGTGCAAAAGTCAACGACAACTACCGGGAAAGATCGTCAAGTTAAACGAACCTCGCAAATTTGGAACAGATCGCCCAAGTTAAGCTAACCTCGAAAATTTGCTTAAGACATCTGCGCGCTATCAAATGTTCATATTGCCCAACACCCGGACAGGCAGAACACACATAAACATACGCGCACTGGAATCGTCGCAATATGTGTTTTTTGCATTTACACATATGCGAAAGCGTGTAATGAAAAAAATTTAAAACTGAGATGTTTCCGAGTAGAACAGCTATACAGCAAAGGAAAACACTAGCAGCTGTGGTGAAGTGTGAGGAGGCAAATTCGGGATACTAGTACCTGAAGTGACCACATTCTCAAAGTTTTTCTTACAGTGCTTGAAATAACATTTCTTTGCAGAAGCCACTCGCTAGCTATCTTAAAGAAATTATGCAAAACGGATACCTTCCCAAATTACATGCATCCTTTTCCTCGCGTTGTGGAGAAGCTATAGGCGAAAGGCATGTGGTTTTCCATCGTTTTGGCGTGCTGAACATCCGAGCAGGCGCCATTTCCCAATCATGAAATTTATGCTGGAAGAGCGAATCGCTCAGACCCTGCGTTAACTTGATAAGGAAGCACCAGTGCGGTCGCGCGCTGTCAAAAGCATCACCCAGTAGCATTTGCTTCTGCTCTTCAGAAATTCTGGTAATCGGTTTCGAGCGCTGAAAACGACTCATATCAGCGAAATAGTTCGTGCCTTTTAGCGGGTCTTGTTTTCCAGACAGCACAAACTATTCTTTAGTATTTGATTCAGAAAACTATTAATTTCACGTTCTTACCGTTTTATAATGTAATGTATGTAATTAAACTACTCCTGTACTGGCTCGAAAATACAGAAAATACAGAGGGGTTTAAGCTCGGTAACATTCTAGCAGAAATGAATAAACAATTTCTGTTTACAAAGACCACGTTTATTTTCAAAATGCGAGATCGCAATATTGGTGCTTTCGACTGCGGTATCACAAGTTTACTATAACTATAGCGATAAAAGTAATAGTGATAATAAAGCTAACAGTTGATAGCAGGTGTACAAGACCTACCAATTCTTCAGCATACGAAACTGCATGTTGTGTCCCGGTGCGATCAGCATTCCGGCCAACCCAAACATAAATTTCGGAGCCAAAATCGAAAATTAAATTCTGAAACGCAGTGAACACATGAACATTTTTAAACTTTTTTGAGCAAAAATTTAAACACTTGCAAAATGCCGTCATTTCGTCCAGCATCGCTTCTAAGTCCTCACATTCATCGTTAGCCCAGTAAACAAAAGTGAATGAACCACACTCATGAAGCACGTCTATCTGAGAAGCAAATTTTCTAGGGCAGAAAACTAACACAACAGATCTGATCCAAATTTAAATGAGCTGTCATCGCAGTCACATACAGTACAATGGTGCCCTCCACGTTTGCACCAGAAAGTCAGTTGAGTAAATTCAGCATGCCATTTTTTAAAACAAAAATCCACTTTTTTCGAGAAGGTACGTGGTAAATTTTCATTATTCTAAACAGCATTATTTTGATGGTTTTATGTGGCTTATTTTATTAAGTACTAGGGTGTACTTTACGTAAGTTCTTTCGCTTTTATTTCATTCTTTTTTTCGACTCGCTTTTCTATTTACATGGACAATATTAACCATTTCCACCACAGCTACAGCTCTTTAAAATAATTCAAATTCTTTTGACTCATAGGTAAGAGGCAGAGGGTTTGATTCCACCAGTGAAAACAGTCCTCTTAGATTTGTTTATTCAGATTGATGGCAATTCGCACCGGCGTATGCCACGAAGTCTACAATGCTAACAGCTACACCGTGTGCAATCCTTGAAAAAGGGAACCGCCGATAACCCATTACTGGTGGCATGGCCACCACTCACTTTACTTACGAGTGCCTTTAACCATAAAAGATTGAATAAGAAAGGGTTTTGACTTTGAATTTGGAAATAGTCGAATTTCTTTATTAATGAACTAATGAACCAATTTATTTTTTTAAAAATGAACCAATTTATTAATGAACCAACAATTTATTTTTTTAAAAAAAGTATCGGGAAACATGCTCCTCAACAAATTTTCTACTGTAACGGTATCTCAGGGAACAAGATAGTCGAAGCCGACAGAGAGAGTAAGGAACGGACATCGAGCCCACATACGGACACTTGGAAATTTTGGCGCGAAAATTACTCACCCAGGAAAGGGAAAAGCCAGAAAGATGAAAATTTATGGCAATGCTCCCCATTCACGTACGAGCAAAATCAGGTGTTTAGAAGCGCTCGGC